GAGCTAGGCTCCTCACGCCTGGCCTCACGTGGGCTGACAGCTCCGGATGCTCCACAGCCACTTTTCCCGGAGGGTGTGAGCGGCCCACGGTCGGACGTCGGGCACCCAGAGGGCTCCAGCACAGCAAAGGTGAAGCTGCCCTGCCAGACCCTCCTTCCACAGCCAGAGCAAGGGCCATCAGCAGCTGAGCTGAAGTTGGAGGCACTGACCCAGCGCCTGGAGCAGGAGATGGATGCTCGGCCAAAGGCTGATTACTTCGGTAAGGAGTCAGTCCGCCGGTCAGCATGAAAAGGGTTCATTGCAGGGTTGTGTTTGCCCGTATGCCTGCTTGGTTCTGCTTTTTTAGTTGCTCAGGGGTTTTTTGGTTGTTTGATCTATATTTATCACAGGGACTGGAGGCTCTTTCTCCTGTGACACTTTTTTCTTTAATTCTACCTCTTAAATTTTAAAGCAAAGGTAGTTTAGCAGCTTTGAGGAGGACAGCACTGAGAAGAAGCTGGAGCAGCATCTTTTGAAGTGCCCTTCGTTGTTGGCAGGGAGGCACTTAACTTTTCTTGACAGTACTCCTCTTTCTCCATGTCTTAAATGCTGTGGAGCATCCGGAGCCGTCAGCCCACGTGAGGCCAGGCATGAGGCCAGGCTGCCTGACCATGTTTGAGTGGGAAGGCAGCCGTCCAGCCTGCGGAGGAGTTGTGCCTGCGTATGCTGTGGGCACGGAGAAGGGCAGGGAGCTTGGGGGAGTCTTTGTGGTGCCCCCCATGGAGGTGGCCATGGCCAGGCGTGCTTGCGGGATCTCTTGAAGAGGAGTTGCTTGGGGATGGGGAGGGTGGTGGTTTCTCAGACTTGCCAGGATTTCCCCCCATCCCCAGGTGCTGGTCCCCATCAGCTGTGAAAGGATCCTGAAGATGGCAGAAAAACAGGCCGTAGGCACATTCCTCCCTAAATCTTGGGTCTGTGCGTAGTCCGGGCCACCACCAGAGGTTATCACTGGCGCTTGGCAGTGAAAAGGGACTGCTTACATGCAAGGATCTCCCAATGAGGATATTAAATGTCCTGCTGGATTAAACAGATTTACTACCCCAGGATGGCAGAAGGTCAGGGATAAATTAAGTGTTTCCTTTCCCTGCTGTGCCACTTTGCAATTTAATAGCAGATGAGATAGTTCAGCTTTTGGGAGAAGGAAACCTGAAGTTGCTGGGAAGGCTGAGAAACTCCGCAGTTAATTTAATGAATGACAGGAGCAGGTCTAGTGTGTGGATTTTCCTCACGATTTTAGACCCATGGTCGCAGAAGTAGAAGCAGGGACAGATTAAACTCTTCAGCCTGGCATGGAGAAAAGGTTTGCATCTCAGTGCCATTGCATGGAGTCCTGTCCGGTGGGATCAGTGGGTGGCTCAGTGGTGGTCTGTGCACCCAGGAGAAGCCATGAACTTCACGCCAGGCTTTGGGCGGACCACCTAGTGCTCTGTTGCAGACTGCGTAACAAAATGTGTCTCTTGGCATCAGGCGGTGATACTTGCCCACAGAGGGCTGTGCTGGCATTGTTTATCTTAGTATCTGAGACTGGATTCAGCCTTGTGGCAGGGCAGACGCTTTTTTATTCTGTCGCAGAAAAATGATGTGTCAAGTTGCTGCACATTGAGCATTTTGGCCTGGAAACGTGTTTTGGTGCTTTCCGTCCCATGCGGTCAGCGTGCAGTTTGAGTGAGCTCAGGGAGCCTCGTCTGGGGGAGGCTGAATGCCGTGACAAGGAGCTGGTAACAAAGATGGGGTTGGGACAGCGGTCATGTGGGAGGCAGTGCTTTAAAAAGGGAGTATTTTGCTGGAGGTGGCATTCAGCTCCACTGGAGAGGTGTTGGGTCTCTTCAACAGACCCTGCTGTGTGTGTCTTCTCGTCACAGTGCAAATAAACCAGCTAGACCATACCTTGTCCAAAATGTGCATGGCAATGGGGTGAGAAAGCAGGGGGACCTAATCAGTGGTTAGATTGTTTTTACATTTTTGTTACTAAATAGGGGGTAGCGCCAGGACGTGGCTTTTGTCCTGTGGGAAATTTGTAGTGAAGCAGGAGTGATTCTGGCAGCACAGAGAATCCTGCTGGTCGGGTGGCTGAGTTGCTGGTGAGCCCTGGGGAGGAAGGAGAGATGGAGGCTGCCTGATCCCCAGTGAGGTCTTTTGACATCCTTCTGGCAGGAGGTTTTACACCAGGGTGTAGCGTCTGAGAAATTTGGGAGGGAGGAGAGGGAAAAACAATGTGATGCAGTCATGGCAGAGGAAGAAGAAAAGTTTTGTGGAGCTTCAGCTGTATGGAAGAAGGCTCAGCAGATGTGCCCTGTAGAGGCACAGGGAGCAGGAAGGGGCAAGTACTAAGGTATTTTAATTCTGGGTCTCCTCCTCCTTTCTTTCTCACTTTTATTTTCATTTTTTCACAATTACTTACTTTCTTTGGAGGAATAATGGACCCAGCTGGTCTTCTGAATCTATCTTTGCTATTCCCTACCCTCAAGCTAGCAAACTTTAGGATGGAAAATAAATACTTTTATGTAACAGTGATAAAAAGGATCAACAGTTTGTTTTGTTGCAGACTTTTCCCCAGTGAAGGGAAGTCTAATGCAGGAGCTTTGCAACACATCGGAGCCAGGAAATGAAACCAGGACTGAAGTGTAAATGACCAAAGTGTTTTATCTCATATGCTTTCAGCTCTCCTCATTTTGGGTGCTACTTTTGTAACAAGGGGATTTTTTTTTAAGATGGACCTGTCTGTCTTGTTAACATACAGTCCTTCAGTTTGCCTCGGTCTGGACCAGATATTTGTAATGAACAATTAATTGTGAGCACAGTAAAGCAGCTGCTTTTTTCTTCACTGTGTGAAAATGAGTGTAAAAGAAAGCCTAGGAAAGGATAAGGTAGGGACTAGGCATAACATAGGTGGGATGCTCTGCTGAGGAGTAACAGACGGGCTGGTTATCTGTCAGCACCAGCTTGCTGTACAAAATACTTTGTCTGCTCAGAGTATGTATAGTACAAGAAAGGAAAGACACAAACAAAGCTAAGAATTTTTTTTTTTTTTTTTTTAAACAGTAGCCTATGTTTGAGCAGCACAGGCTGCACGTATCTCTGGAGGAATTTGGGTTCTCTGAGAGTGCTTTTGAAGTGCTGGCGTGATTTATGTGGGCTGTCGAGGAGGACATAGGGAGTCTCAGGTATCACCCAGGTCTTAAGCTTGGGGAGGGAAATCCTGAAATTGCTCCCTGGAGAGGCTGGTTCCTGTGCAGCAGAGAAGGGGCCCCATGTCCCTGGGAGGTGTGACTGGAAGCCAGCTTAGGTTGTAGTCAGGTTTTTGGTGTACCGTTTTTAGGGAACATCCAGGAGTGAGGTGCCTGAATTCCACTGATTATCTGTGTTGTTCCTTTGGATGCACCAGCCTTCATCTCCACTTGGCAAACAGGAAGATTGATTAAATAGGAGTGAATGGGGCAGTTGAAACTTCTCCGCTAGCACCACCCAGTGCAATGCAGATGTTTTGGGTTAGGTGAGGCAGCACCATCCCAAGGACTGGTGCTGGATGAGTTTTCAGGTGAGAGCTGGGCAGATGCACAACCAAATCAAGTGTCTGCCTGCACTGTCTGGAAGGGACTTGGTGGGGGAGAGGTGTGGCTGAGGGGCGGCAGGGTCTGCAGGGAGGTTTTACCATTCATTTCAGCAAAGCCTGTGGTACCACACAGTTCCTTGGTCCGCAGGCACAGCTGAGTGCTTTTAGAGGTGTAACGTCTAGCATCATGTTTTTACCAGTGCTTATTTCATATAGCTAGATGGAAATCTTCATCTGATGAAGACTAGCTGCACCCTTACCAAAGCTTTTTTTAAAGCAATTTTTATAAATGGTTTTCTTGTTATAAATATGTGTTATATGTTGAGTTCTGACTTCCTTCTTATTTAGAGCAGAGCTGATAAGCTGCAGGTATTTTAGCAGGGCCCCAGACATCTTGTTTTGCAGTGAAATACTGGGATGCTTCCCAGCAGTCAGGCAGATCTCATAGCAAAGTCTGCAGATTTCTTTTCCCCTTGGCAGAAGCAGAGCAGTAGCTGAATCGCTGAACTCTGTGGAGACCTGGAACCCCAGCACCTTTGAATGTGTGAGGTGTAATCAGCTCGAAGGCCAGCAGCACTCTTTTGAAGTCTTATACATAGTGAAGTTAGTATTTTACCACTGCTGAAACCACAATTTGTTTAACACTTTAAGACTGCACCCACCTGTGGACTTTACTGAACCCTGATGATGCTGATGCACCAGGGTGCTTCAGCAGCAATGATGGTAATTTCAGAGCTGCCGAGTGGAGAATTTCTGGTTAAAATAAAAGATCTTCTGAGGTTTATTTTGTACGTGGGTGATGATAATAGTGTCATTTCCACTGGGAATGAGCAGAGGCATCCCTTGCTGCCTGCTCCTGAGAGAACACCACGGCTGGCAGGAGATGCCTGCCTGCAGCAGAGAGGAGGGGGAGGCAGGGCAAGGCGGGTCCTGGTGGAACAAGGAAAGCGGGAAGGGTCACGGCATGTGGACTAGTGGGCGTGTGCAGATTGCAAAGTTTATCTCACTGCAAGGAACCAAGCAAATAAGTATTTGCCTGGGATATGGCAATTCAAGATTACAGCAGTATGCACTTCTCCTCCCTTCCTCTTGGGAGCTCAGCTGGGTTTGCAAGCTAAGGAAAAATCTACCAAAAGGAAAGAAAAAGGAAGGAGTTGAGGCAGAGGAGCAATAGGTCTTTCAGCCAGGGTACTGTGGCAGTGAGACTGAAAGGAATAAGGAGCTTCATTCATGTGACACTGAGGTTAACATAATCTCTGACATCACTATAAGGTACTTCAAATGTCACCGAGGTGAGTTTGATGGCATTTTTGTACTTTGTTGGCAGTGTGTACACAACTGTTTCTCTCTAAATTGGAGAGATATGAGTTCAATGGGTGGACTGTTTGGTGGATGAGGAATTCGTTGGATGGTCACATGCAGAGAGTAGTAGTCAACAGCTCAATGTCCAGGTGGAGATTGGTGACAAGTCGTGTCCCTCAGGGGTCTGTATTGGGAACAGTGCTGTTCAGTGACATAGTGGGATCAAGTGCACCCTCAGCAAGTCTGCAGATGACACCAAGCTGAGTGGTGCGGTTGACACGCCTGGGGGACAGGAGGCCATCCAGAGGGACTTGAGAAGTGGATGCACGTGAACCTCATGAGGTTCAACAAGGCCAAGTGCAAGG